CGAACATGAAAGCAGAGATCGCTACCTATGTGGGAAAGTGTCTGACTTGCGCCAAAGTCAAGGTAGAATACCAGAAACCATCAGGATTACTACAACAACCCGAAATACCCGAGTGGAAATGGGAACGGATAACCATGGATTTCATAACCAAATTACCCAAGACAAAAGGTGGGCTAGACACCATCTGGGTAATTGTCGATAGGTTAACAAAATGCGTACACTTCCTACCCACTAAAGAAACCGATAAGATGGAGAAGCTAACTCGAACTTACATTCGAGAGATTGTACGACTGCACGGTGTACCAATATCCATTATCTCCGATAGAGATAGTAGGTTCACCTCGCGATTCTGGCAATCGTTACAAAAATCCCTAGGAACGAGGCTCGACATGAGTACTGCTTACCATCCAAAAACCGATGGTCAAAGTGAGAGGACCATACAAACCCTGGAAGATATGCTAAAAGCTTGTGTAATCGATTTTGGTAAAGAATGGGATACCCATTTACAACTAATTGAATTTTTGTACAACAATAGCTATCACTCCAGCATCAAAGTTGCTCCATTCGAAGCCCTATACGGCCAAAAGTGCAGATCACCACTGTGCTGGACTGAAGTAGGTGACACACACCTAGCCAAGGGACAAGTACCTGACAGAACTCTCACTAGCCCGGAAATCATAAGAGAGACAACCGAGAAGATTGTACAAATTCGGGAATGACTAAAGGCTTCAAGAGACAGACAAAAGAGTTATGCAGACAAAAGACGGAAGCCCTTGGAATTTTAGGTCGGGGACCGAGTACTATTAAAGGTCTCGCCCTGGAAAGGGTTAATACGTTTCGGAAAACGTGGGAAACTAAACCCAAGATATATCAGACCATTCTAGATCCTCGCAAGGATCGGTCCGGTAGTCTACAAACTTCGTCTACCACAGGAACTCAATAATGTACACCCTACCTTTCATGTGTCGAACTTGAAGAAATGTTTATCCGATGAGACCCTCATCGTCCCTTTAGACGAGATCGAAATCAACAAGAGTCTCCAATTTATAGAAGAAACAATTGAAATCATGGATAGGGAAATGAAAAGAACAAAACAAAGTCGCATCCCCATCGTGAAGGTCCACTAGAATGCAAAGCGAGGACCTGAATACACCTGGGAATGCAAAGATCAGATGAAACACAAGCACCCACATCTTTTTCCCAAATCCACAAGTGTTTTTCTTACATTAAACTTCGGGACGAAATTTCCTCTAACGGGGGGATGATGTGACAACCTGATATTTCGACTCTATGTAATGACCTAAAAAGTCAAGTATTGTAACTACTTTTGAAATAATGAAATTAACTTCGAAAATAAAATGTGAAAAAGTCTCTATAGGGATATCTATTATGCTAGATAATGTGTCAAGGTTTATAGAAATACTAAGAATGCAAAAATCCGAGTTATAACGAAGAAGTTATGACCATTCTAAGATTTATGACAAAACTGGCAACATCGATTAAACGAAAAACGTGAAGTTTCAATACAATATTTTTTATCCTTAAGTATAGAAATGAAGTTTTAGATAATATTAAACCATGAGTGTACATAAAAAGAACGTCCAAATCTGACTTCGTATGAGGAAGTTATGATTTTTCCAAGATCCGGATATAGTAGTAGACAACTAAAAACTTGAATTAGAGATCGAGAGACTTTTGGCCAAAACAACCTAAATCAGAATCAAAGGTCTCAACAATAGTAGCACAACGGTGAAAATCTAACGAAAACGGACATCGGATGAAGAAGTTATGGCTTTGTAATGGATTTTTTGTGTCCCGGTCCGTTAAAAATAAATAATTAAATATAAATTCAAACTTAGCCGAAAAAGTCTAAATGAGAGTTGTAGAGCATATTTTCAGCTACGCGTGCATATAAATAACATCGAAAACGAAGCTCATACGCGGAAGTTATGGATTTTACAAGTTCGGGGTCCAAAATCCGAGGCTGTTAGGTCTCCCACGACGTGTTACAATTCGTCGCGACTCGGTAGGTGACTGAGGGCGTCCAATTGATGGAAGAGGATAAGACTTGCTCCCCACGACGTGGCCAACCTTATCCATGGCATGGCACCCAAAAATCCACCCTATAAATAGAACTCTTGGGGTGCCGGGTTTAGGTGTTCCATTCTTCCATCTCTCGTGCTGAAACTCTGCGGTTAAGCTCCTGAAGCCCCGGTCTTCACACTCAAGTTCCGAAGGAAGGTTGTACACTCCTGAGACTCCCGAGATTCACGAAAATCCCGAGAAAATCGACTTTCACAAGCCGAAGTTCTGCTCAATTTTCATCTCGCTTTCTCCAATCAATCAAGTGAGTTCATACCCCTATAAACTACACTTTCAAATGGTTTATCAATGCTTTGTATACACTTTTAAGAAGGGAAATACAAGTAAACACACGGTTATTATCATGTGTAACATAAAGTTTCACTATATACTCTTTTCTATCAAGTGAATCATATGTGATTCATAACTACTACATGGGAACTTTTGTATGCAATATATATTCACGATAACATCTTGTCTTTTGAAAATAAAACATGTATATATATATATATGCGAATCAAACCCTTTATTTATACTTTAAGTATATTTGATCATTTATGCCACTTTAAATGTTATACCTTACATAACAAGTGAGCATTACACTAGGGTTTTTTATATGAATGAAACACTCACATTTTGAAAAACTATAATAGGTATAGTTTATGAGAAAATCATGAACATTTACATACTAGAAACACTATATCAAAGAGATACTTTCATATACAAGAACAAATGCACATTTTCATACGTAAATCTATTTTAAACTAAGTTTTGTGAGACAATTCACGTACTTTCGAGTATGCATTTTATGTCCTGTATTATATACCATAATCCCTTGTAGGGGGAGCGTGATACTTGTGTATAGATCTATACGGGATTGACAATCTCGCACCTAAGGTGTTTGCTACAGGTAGGCCGGTAAGCCTGGGGTGACAAACATCATAACACTTCAACGCTTGAAGAACGTTGTTATAGGCAGTCTGGGTGATTAGTATGGTTATAAAACTCACATGGAGTATTAAGAAATTACTGATTTATAGGGTTATCAAATGCCTTAGTGATTTTATACTTACACAAATCTACTACTCTAGGCATGAAAAACACGATTGCATTTCCGTTTTGAAACTTTTAAACTCCCACACACTTATGAATGGACATTGGATTTCTAAAGGCAAACTTTGAAAACAGTCAAGTCTTTGAGGAAGACTACTTTTATACTAGTAGGAAATATTGGATTTTCTAGGAGTTTTTCGAACATCTACAAACAAATTTCATTTTATTTTATTCAAACATTGTCACTAAATACTTATGACCTCACCATCTTAAATGATGACCTACTCTTTCAAATCTACTTGTATTTTTCAGGGATTCAGTAATACAGGTAAACTACTGCTTTTGAAGAAGGGACGTTGCGGCGTTAGTTTATTTTCACTTTGACAATATATAATAATTGATATTTTGGAACATGTAATACCTACAATTGATGTAACTTTTTCAATTAGATATATGTTGGTTGTGTTTACTTTCTTTACTATGTATCCAATTGTTACGATACTACATGAAGTCATCCGCCCTCGAACGATTCCGCCGTTCTGGTTTGGGGGTGTGACACGAACTGGTTATCCCGAAGGCCCAGTGAGCGGTCCGGATAGGCTGTAGGCCCCACGAGGGCGGACCAGACGTGCTGAGGCCCGGAGAGTGGACCAAGCCGACTGAAGGCCCGGTGCGAGTGGACCAGTCATACTATAGACTCAAAGAGTGGACCAGGTGGATTGAAGGCTCGGTGCGGGTGGACCAATCACACTGTAGACTCGATGTATATTTCTAGACTCAGAGGGTGGACCAGGTGGACTGTAGGCCGGTGCGGCGGACCAGTCACACGGTAGACCCGAAGTGCATGGTTGCTCTATATCGGTTATATGATATGGTTATGTTTGCATGGTGTTGGTATTTTGGAGGTATCTCATTAAGCTTTCGGGCTTACAGTTGTGGTTTAAATGTTTCAGGTACTTCAAGAGACCATGGCAAGGCAAAGGCATGATCGTACCGCTCCTCGGGTTTTATGTGTTTATGATGTGGTTTCTGGGAAATACTCTGATAATAAATGTATTGAAAGCCTTGTTGTATTAACTTTATGAAATTGGGTTGTTTTTGAAAAATTTAAATTGGTTGGAATTTCTAGAGCGTTACAGGAAGGGACATTCGCCACTTTGACAAGGGAGCGAAACAAGAAGGCTTTTGAAGTAATTGGCAGATCCAGCTATGAATCTTGTGAATTATGAAGTTTGAAGGACACAATTGGTTCTAGCCAATACTGACTTAGCATATCAAAGAATTCGTTTTGAATTCGCTTCAAAGTCCACTTTGGAAATAAAATCTTTCGGCTTTCCAAAGTAACCTGAGCTTCGCGTTTTGCTTTCTCTTTCGCTTCAGCCTCCTTGATTATTCTTTGATGTTCGTCCATTTCATGCCTTTCTCCTCTTGAGTTCGTTTTCATCAGGCTCTTCGTCTTCACTATTATCAACAATGGATTCTTCACTGAAAAGCTTTTCTTTGCCTTTAGGCTCAGATTCACTCTTGACAGTTTGCTTGACTGAAGGTTTGGTGTTTTTGTTTTTAGAATGAGGCACACCTTCTCCCCCTTGTTTCGGAATGGAGCCAGATTCCGGAACACCTTCTAGTCGATTAAGCATTGCGAAGACAAGCCTCAACTTTTTAGCAAGATGTTTCTTCACCGTAATAGTGATCATTGAGTCGCGAGTCTCAATGATATCTGAAAGCATACCAATAACTTCTGCAATGTAGCTCTTCATAGCAACTTTCTCTGATAACAAATCATTGACATGCTTCTCAACATTGTCAAGATTAACAGTCAAGACTTTCACCTTTTCCGTCTTAAGGTCAAGGGCATCCATGATTTTGCTTGATATTGAGAAGGAATGACTGCCCTGTGTGTTCATGAACCGAAGGAGTTTCAGATGATCCCGCCATTGACGAGTTCTCAAGGATGAAGGTGATGAACAATTGAGAGAATTTTGATCACCAAAACTTTTGAGAGTGTTTGTGAGTGGTAGAGAGAGAAAAAGGTAGCGTCATAATCCCTTTATACCATTTTCTTGGTAAGAGAAATCCTGGAGAGAGAGTACTTCGATTACTGAAACGATGCCTGAAAAAGCATGATATGACAGTTGTGACATCAGTAAAGCATGTCCGGTGGCGGAAAAGAAGCGTCAGTTCAAATTTTCACGCTCCCATTTGAATTCTTATCCACAAAACTACCGCTTCAGTTTCTCCCCTTTCGCTTTTAAGCATATATTACCATTCACACCGAGAACATACTTTTGCTATTAGGCAAACTTTAGTGGAACTGTGAAACTGAAATGAGAGTAATTACCATGAACTAGAGTTTTGGAAAATCACAAGGATCTTTGTGCTACAGTGTGCCATAGATAAAGAAATAAAGTAAAGCATATGTGTGGGATTTCAGTGATGTCTATTTTAAGACACGAAACTGTGGATCCCAGGCAAAGATATCTTCCTTCAAGGTCAAGAGAGACTAAGAAGTGTCTGTGCGGTTCCCCGTTAAATTATGATCACTAGTTTATTAAGAAAAAGTGAAAGACATCTTTTCTTTAGGCTTTTAGGGTGGCAATTTCTTTAACCAAATTATGAAACTTGATATAACTACGAACAATTGGATGAAGTACTCGAATGACCAGTGTAGTCAATTGAACGAGTAGCATGGAAATTATTATAGTGACTTGGATAAAGATAGAAATCTTTAAAAAAAATTAAAACCTGGATCTATTGGGTAGAAATGTCTTAGGTCTAGAACATTTGATTTAGATCTCGCAAGATAAAAAAAATTTCTTGATACAAAACACGAAAGTGGAGTTTCATTAATTCCTTGGTGAAATATCTAGAACATGTAATTCTTCACCGTCGATCCATAAAAGTGTGTTGAATTTTAGGTTTCACTCAGTTTGTAGTGTAAAAACTAAGATCATTAACACAGATGTTGTTTAACCATAAACCTCAGTGGTAATATCTGAGAGTCTTAAGGGTTACAATTATGAAAGGAAAAGTGGTGGAGAAAAATAGGAGGTGGTTCCAAAGAAATGAATTTACCTCTGTTATGCGAAAGTGACCAAGTAGAAAACTCTTTACTCAATATGAGAAGAGTAAAGTAGCTCATGATTTATGTTAATTTATAGCCTAATTGGGAAGAAACTATGACAACCGTCAAAATTAGAGTCAGTTCTAGATTTGCCTAAAGTTAGTTGCATATATAGGCACGACACATACTAGACTTAGTAACTAGAAGCTAAGTTATAATCTACTAGAAACTTGGAAACAATTAGAAACGATGGACAGTGTACTTAGATTTCACATTGATATGTGAATTCTACAACTACTTAACTGTAAAGACTACCCATATTCGGTTCACTGTTTGACTCGAACACCTTTTCATGAATCATATACACACATTATTCACTTGACCTATAAGTAGAAATTAGGTCAAAGTCTCATAGAAACATAAGTCATAGTTGAAGACTAGGACTACTATACTTGATTCCTTAATTTCGCTTGAATCTCGGAATCACTACATAGAATGCCAATAAACCGGTAAAAATAAATTACAAACATTATTTCTATCTTGAATAAGAGTTATGAAACTCTAAAATAGTTTGAAGTCTCAAAATTTAATTAATTTTGATATCAAAAGACTTCAAACTCCTCAAAACCTTAAAAATCCCTAAAAACTCAAATTTATAAATTTTAACACCCAAAATCCCATAAAAAAATTTTGAACCACATAATATCAATTTAATATAACTAAATTCCGGAAAATGCAATCAAGGAAGATAAAAATTAAGTCATTGACATTTACCATTAATTTATAATACAAAATACAATTGAACTTTGTAAAAACCAAAGATGATTTTTTTATAAAAAACTAAAGATGATTTTTATAAAAACTAAAGATGATTTTTATAAAAATGATTAGGAGGCCATATTTATTCAAAGTAATGCTTTAAAAGCCTCCTAAAACCCTCTCTAATCCCTCTTAAAGTCGGCCTCGACGTCCCAAGAAAGCTCTTCCCAAAAACACTCAATCAAGTTATTCACTCCCACACTCTTCTCTCAGTCTCTCATTTCTCTCTCACACTCTCACACACATTTTATCTCTTCCTCCCCCTAATAACCACGAAATTTATCCAGAAAATAAGTCCAAGAACACTCAAGATACACAAATCTTCATCATCAAGTGGTGTTTATTAAGGTTTAACACGATTTTCCTTCATCTTCCTTCAAGTTTTACATGTTTTCTTGCATTTTCTCCGTCTTCTACTCAATTCTAATGAAAGATCATGAACACATAAACGTACACACACACTCACGGTTTTTATAATGATGGTGGTAGGATTTCATCCAAAAACAACATGCATGTTGTAAATGGTGAAATCCAAGGACCTATACCTAAGTCAAGATCATGAAAATGCACTTTTCTACAAGTTTTGGTGGAAAATCACCACATGCACTCTAAGTTTTCTTTCAAAAATGATTTTTGTACATTTCAAACACATAATTGGTCTTCAAACCAACATGCATGTAATGATCTTCAAGTTTAGAGGCATCATCATCAAAGTTTGTTGTTAAAAAATATTCAAATAGGTTCGTAAAGGATTTATTCCCAAATAAATATCTAAAACTTATTTTCTAATAAAATCGAATTTTTCCCAGAATTCCATCAACAAAATAAGATGTTCCACAAATATTTAGAAAATAATTCATTTTTCTCGAATTATTATAATTATTTCAAGAAAATAGATCAATAATTTATATAAAATACTTGCTGAGGTCTATAAATCCTAGGTAAATTTGTGGATGACCCCTAACGTGAATAATGACATATCAGTGAGTTTCATCGATTTTTGTTACTGTTTGCTATTGTTTTGAAATTTTTTTAACTCAAATAAATAATAAAACCACTTTAAGGAATATGCAAAGGGTATCTAATAATTTTCGCAGCTCCTACCCTATGTTTGAGACTCTGACCAATATTATCAGAATTTTTCATAATGCATTCCTATTTTTACCCGATGTTTGTATTTATAATGGATTAAAAACAGGAAAAATAGTTCTACTCATCCGAAATTCATAAACACTTACCAGAATTTGGATGATGTTTCTATTCAATATGCTATTTTTCTTCTATTTTCTAAGATTAAATACAATTAAATCCACAAAATCAGATTTCATTAGATAAAAACCACCTTTGGTATTTTCCCCGGATTATTTACACTGTAAATGAAGTTTAGAAATTTTTTGCTAATTTACTTTAACTTTTTAATAATTATTCTCCGATTAATGATTATTTAAGAGGATAAAACAAACAAAAATAGAAAGACTAATTTAAAAATATCTTTTATATTTTAACCGCTTCTACATGTATAGTAACAGTGTTACAAAACGTTTGGGCAATTTGGACACTGTTTTCTATTTATTTCAAATTTTATTAGAATAAATGTAAAAATCATAACATTTAGTTAAACAGTTTAGAAATCCATTTTAATATTTTTCCCAGCTGAATAATGTTTAATAAAAGTAATACAAAAAGTTTGGGCAATTTTGGAAACCCTTTTCTATTTATTTCAGTTTTTATTAGAATAAATGCACAAAAATCATAAAATTCGAGTAAACAGTTTATAAATCCATTTTAACATTTTTCCCAATTTAATAGTATTTAATAACTGCAATAAAGAAAGTTTGGGAAAATTTTGAAACTGTTTTGTATTTATTTAAATTTTTATTATAATAAATGCAAAAAAATCAGAAAATTGGGTTAAACAGTTTAGAAATCCATTTTTATATTTTTTTTCCCAAGTTAAGTATGTCTAATTACAGTATTATAAAAAGTTTGTGAATTTTTATCATCTAGATTCTATTTTTCACGAATTTATATTCTTATGAAGGCATAAAAGTCTGGAAAAATGGTTGATCACATCAAAAGTTCAAGAGAAAATTTCTGGAAGACATCTAGTGTATTTTGAACAAATATGTAAAATTTTGATGAATTTTGGAAATTGTTTGATAATATTTTTGAATTTTTAGGAATTTAAAACACCTTTAAATGTATTGAAATATCCTCAATTAATATTACAAAAATATGGAAAATAATATCAAAAATTATCTTAATCACATGAGTTATAGAATTTCACCATTTCATAAAAATGTTTCTTACTTAACAATATTAGATTTTGACACCATATTGGCATAATTGTATTGTAGTAGTAAGTATACTAGTGTTAGATTTCGATTAGATACTCACTAGTGAATACCTTTATTGTAGGAATCGGTAATGGTACAAGTGGAAAGTAGTTGAAGGCACTATTTACATCATCTAAATTTATTGTGAGTATTCACGCATTCCCCTATTTTCGGTTTTTAAATGTTTTCGGGTGGAAAATCATGTCCTAAAATATTTATGTTCATTGTATTTAATTGACTCGTATAAACTTGGTTGCTATATTTTGCATATTGTGAGTACTCACGACTCCCCCTATTTTCGGTTTTTATCTTTTGGGGTGGAAAAGCATATCCGAAAAACTATTATTTGTTCGTTGTATTTAAATTGATTTGTATCAAACTTGATTGCTATTTTATTGCTATATTTCTCTATGTATGTCTATGCAACGCGAAACATGACGCGTTATCATCTTAACTCCTTTCCCTTACACTTTTCTCCAACTATTAACTCTTTGAGCCAATGGTCATTATGGATAGCGCTATTAGGAATTGACAACTCCTCACTCACCCGATTACTAGAGTGCATGATACCATATACTCTATGGAACGATAAGCATATATTTTGATAGGGCATTAATCATAGGTTTGGTTGCGAACTCATTGTTTGCTCATACACATATGAACTCGTTACTTATTATTGCAATAAACT